GAAAAGGCTGAATAGTTTGATTTTTGAATGGTTTCTGTAGCTGAAAGTGTGCTGAAGTTATTGAGAGCCAAACTATTTGGTGAAATAAGAAGATGATTAAAGAATCGAAGAACTATAGCGGAATGCTGTAAACAGCATTCACATTAATAAATACATACTACAATAATAATTTTCTTATAAATAATAATTTTAGCAGTGATTTGGACCAAACATGTATTCACTAAGGAATTTGATAGGAAGCTTTTATTTGTAAACAATTGCAGTTAGGAACATGTTTAACGTGGACAACTTTTCACATGCCAAACTTATCACAACTCTTGCTTTTGCACGACTGATTCATGTAAGTCTTATTTTAAACTTATTTTACCTAAGGAGATATTTGATATCTTGTGAAAGATAACAGTACATAATATTTGAGCATTACCTGACCTTGCCATCCATTACTAGTGAGGAAGAGACTTCATGTCTATGTCAAAAATCACACAGGAGGAACTGGACAAATGCTGCTGTATGATTATTATATACCGCTACATCACAATGGAAAACTTCTTCACCAGTATCCCTCTGGCTGAAAAGCTCCTTGAGAAGAACCTGACAATTGTGGGGACTCTTCACCAGAACAAGCCGGACATACCGCCTGTCATGAAGCCATCCAAATTTGACGCATAGCTCAGAATCTGGATTCAGTGGCAACATGACCATGATGAGCTACAGTATGTTCCGAAAAAGGGGAAATCTGTTGTCCTGCTGAGCACCATGCATGATGACAGAGCAGTGGATGACAACAGTGTAAAGAAGAAACCAGAAGTGATCCGGTACTATAACAAAACAAAATCAGGAGTGGACANGACCTTCAGCTATAGAACTCGTTATTGATATTTTTCATATATTTGACAATCTAAAGAAGGCCTTTTTACCAAGCTCCAAACTAAGTTAAATATCTAAAAAATTGTCAAATATATGAAAAATATCAATAACGAGTTCTATAGCTGAAGGTCTTGTGATCATTTTAAAGTTGGAATGAAGTCTCTAGCTGAAAGTATGGGGAAGGAGTAGCATTTGGCGCACGGTGTAGTTAAAAGAGGATTTGAAGGTTCCTTCCATTGAGTTCCATGTTAAAAAAAAAAGTTTAAAAAGCTGAATATTTCAAAAAGTATAAAATATTTTGAAAAAGTTTCCCATCATGTGCTGAAAAGGCTGAATAGNAATAACAAGTTATATAGCTGAATGTATTGTGATCATTTTAAAGTTGGAATGAAGTCTCCAGCTGAAAGTATGTGGCAGGATTAGCATTTGGCGCACGGTCACCGTGCGCCAAATGCTAATCCTGCCACATACTTTCAGCTGGAGACTTCATTCCAACTTTAAAATGATCACAATACATTCAGCTATATAACTTGTTATTCCGATTTTTCATATCTTTTACACTTTTTGAGATATTTAACTTTGATGGAGCTTGGTAAAGAGGCCTTCTTCAGATTTTAAGATTAGTGTGTATTCAGCTGCTTGTTAAGTCTAGAGTGCTTTGATCTCAAAATAGAGTGGAGGAGAGCTTGAAATTCGCCCAAATCTTTTTTTTAAACCTGCAATAATTCCCAAACCCTATAACCCTTGGACATAATCTTTGGGAAAAATGTAGGAAAACCTCTCCTACGTTGAAAAATAAAGAAAACATAAAGAAAACATATTAAACAAAATGCCTCTTGAGGGCATGAAGACACAAAAACTTGTCAAAAAGTCCACCTAGCTCCCAATAGACTCCCCTGTTAGATTTGTCCGGTTCTTTCTTCCGAACAGAGAGAAGTAAACTTTAAACAAACTGCTCCCATCTCCACATTTTACACACAAAACCCACAAAGAAATAATCAGTTAATTGGGGTTCCCTCATGCTCACGGTCTGTTCATTTTTTGATAGGAGCCATAGTTTTTGAACAGGTGGCAAAATTGTTAGACATAATCCTTAATGCATTCTTAATGGGACTCTTAAAAGTTCTGCAGTTGGTTACCATGATGTTGCTGGGCAGATTGGGGCCACACACCTGAGTGACATCATCTAGTCGGAGCAGACACGCCCACAGACAGACTGGTACACACACACACATACANCATGGTGTTGCTGGGCAGATTGGGGCCTTGGAGTGACATCATCTAATCAGAGCAGACACGCCCACAGACAGACTGGAGGTTTGTATTATTATTTTTTCCACAAAAGTTAGAAATGAAAGAGGTTTATCTCTCATTCAGAACAATGGAAAGGCTCTCCTTTCACTGCACATCTCCATGGAAACCTTTGATCTCTGGGCTCTCGTACACAGGTGTTTAATAACGTTGTCACCATGGTAACCTTTGATCTCTGGGCTTACACACACACAGGTGTTTGCAAATTAATATCTAACTCCTTCAGCCTACTTTCTGCTACAGAAACCATTCAACTATTACATTATTCAGCTATTTCAGGACATTGAGGCTATAGATGTTGTTATTTATGCCTTTTTCAAACCTTTTCTTTTAAATATTAAGCTTCTTCACTATTTTTCCTACTCTTCCAGTTTAACATTTCACTTTCAAGTTTTCAACATTTGAGCTGTAACAATTTGGATTCAAATCATTTCACTTTTCTGCATTTCCCCTCTAAGTTCAGCAACACACTTACTTTTTGTAGCTAAAAGCAGCTACAGAGATCATTCAACTAATACAAATATTCAGTTTTTTCTGCATTTTCAGCTAAGTTCAGCAACAAATGTTCACAGTTTACTCCATTCGCACGCATTTTCTGCAGGAAATGCACTTTCTAGTTTCATTTTTATCACACTTGCATACATGGGTCAAAAATGACCCATATGCAAACTTGATGTAGAAATACAAAAACAGTTTTAGTTCCTAAATTAAGAAATGTAGAATGAAAATAATGATGTGTGGTGATCAAAAACAAGATATTAAATGAATACTTGGAATATTAAATGATTAAATAAATTGATTTCCTAAAATATAGCTACAGTAAGAAACACTCACCCATCATGAAATAACATTGTAAGTCAATACGGGTAATTTTCGACCCATGTTGTCCCTTAGAAGAGTAGTGATACAAAAATGATTTTTATTCAAAAATTAAGAAAGGAAAAATGAAAGTAAGAATTTTTGATGATCATAAACAAACTGGAATTTTAAATTGTTAGAGTAATTTGTTACAAAGATATTTACAATTAAAACTCCTTTGGGTCACTTTTGACCCACGTTGTGTATCAAAGGGTTAAACATATTAAACAATAACCATTATTGAATAAGAAAGGAAAAGCATGTGTGTGTGGCTGTGAATCACATCTTACCATCCATGCTTCACTCCCTCCCATCTGGTAGCCCACTTCATACTGCAGGTGGGCCGACAGAGCCTGAAGAGGAGTTTCCCATTTTAGGAACAACTTGTCCTTCTCTGATGCTCCTCTCAGATGACATGGTGGGGATGATTTGACTAAAAAGCACAAACAATTTGTCGGTAAATAACATCACAAGACCAAACTTTCTCAAAGGCATGAGGGAAAAAGGTGAAGAAGAAATGTGGTAAAAGCTAGTAGCTACTGTACTTAGCTTATCGTACTTGACTGAAAATGCTGTCTTCTGAAAGTAATACAGATAAAGAGCTCAGATACCTGTATTTCTAGCCTATAGTGGACTAGATGAGCTATTGGGATAACTTTCTAAGAAGGCTATGTTCATGACTTGTGAGGAACTTAAAAGGTCTGATAAAAAATTATTATTGTGAAATATTTGTTTAAGCAAATGTGATATTGAGAACCTGGTTTTATGATAAAGGCATGAACAAAGATGAACAAAAATCCCTCACTGCTGTTTGTGAGGGTGAACTCTGGAGGAAAGAAGGTCCTGTTGAGTCGAGCTGAAGAGCTGCAGAGCTTCACCCTGACTGCTCTGGACTCTTCTCCATGGAAACAGCACATTTCAGTCAAGCCCCCTTCTGCGAGACACTCGGTCCAGATCAGATCTTTACTGTATAAGGGTCATAATATAATCAGATGACCAAATGTGTAGGCCTACTTGTTTTGGTCTGCACAGAGAGTGAAATATATTTGAAAGAACGATGTCCCTGAAAGTGATGTGTGCGCTGTTTACTGTGAAGGATGTAATAAAAAAACAAGGTGATATTTCTATAAAACATGTTTTACCATGCACATATGAGGACTTTTAAAATTCAACGATGTAATGTATGTACCTGATATCCATCTTGTAGAAAAGCTTGTAATCCTTCTCTTTACCGTATCTGCTCCCATTCCATTGGCAGGTGATATTTTGCAGGTCAGATGTGTAGCACATTAGTGAAATATCATCTGAAACAAGAGAAAAAATGTGTTATTCAAGTGTTGCACCTGTGACAGAAGCATTCACAGGATGAGATGCTGTGCTATGGATAACAACAGCTTCACCCTCTTTGTTAACATCTAGTCTCACCTGCACTTTGGGGGACCACAGCTCGCGCCAGGTTGGACCAGCTGCTCCAGTGTCCTGCATTTGGGTTTAAAGCATATTTTACAGCAACTTGGACATCAAGCTCCTCCCCTGGAACCAGAGAGTCCAGTGTTTCACCCTCCTTTGCCTGTAGAAAATCATTTACAAAACGTAAAAAAATAAAATTGCTGTTTGGTTATTATATTTTTTTTACTTATTTGTTTTACATTTTTATGGCATTCTATAGTTTTTCATTTTAATGCTGTACCCTTTATAGCATACTTTAACATTTAAATATTGTATTTGTTGTGTAATGCAAAAAAAACTTTGGCATTGTTCAAATTGCTCTGTAACAAGTCTTAGTTGCCGTGATGAACAAAAGTACATCACACTAACCTGAATACTGGGGATATCAACACTTACATGATATATAAACTGTATTAATGTTCACACTCAGTAAGTGTGAGATAAAATGATATAATTGATTGATTGAAAGACTTGTTTGTACCTCCTTAATCTTCACTCCCAGCCCCTTGGAAGAGTATCGAATCCTGTACATCACGTCATCTTTCAAGTATTCTGAGACCTTTGTCCGCCATGAAACCTGCAGCTGTCCTGCTTGGCCATTTTGGTGTAAAGACACATTGAAGGGGGGATCCAGGAGGACTAGAGGCAAGACAGTGATGGGAAAAAGGAAATTAATAAAATACAGAATTTAGTAAAACACTTCACTTGTATGTATCCAACAGGTGAAGACTAGGCTTGCTGTCTTTGTTCTTAACTTATTGACAGGAAGTCTCAGCAAAGACAAAGGACCCCCTGAAAAAACTGAGGATACCTATGATCAGCTGACTCATTGGCTGTTTTCAGTTACCTAACAAGCCATCTCCTCTTTTCTCCCTCCCCCTAAGAAGAATTATATTGCAAAAGGAAACGTCTTACAGTTGTCCTCCACGGAGACAGTTCTTCTGTAGAGCCTGGTGTTGGTGTCGCGCTCCACCACTTCAAGGTGTGTTTCCACATATGACAACACATCCGATTCAGGAAATGAGCAGATGTGCAGGAAAGTTGCCGCTTCTATTTTTTGGACAGACATTTCACACCTTTTCTCTCTAGATTAGAACAAATGACAGACACAGTAGAAAAGGTGTATATTAATCAGTCAATCAGTCAATCAAGGAAGAAAAAGGGTTAAATTAATGACACAACAAAAATAAACAAGTCATTTAAAGTAAAAGGTTTTGGTTGACTTAAAGGTCCCATCATATGCTTCCGGGTGCAGGTTGACGTCACTAGGTCCAAATGGACCAATCCGCACACACTCACTCAACGTCCCGCCAACACGGCACCCAGACCCCACGCAGCATTCTCATCGGTTTGTCATTGCTGGTGTCATTTTCTGGTTGGTAACAAACGCCATTGTAAAACATAAACACTGATGTTTAGCTGTAACGGTGGTGGACTCATCAGAACAGAGTGGGCGAGCTGACCAATCAGAGCACAGTGGGCTCACAGGGAGGGGGGGGTCAGGAGCTCCAACAAGCCTGAGCTAAGCGGAGCTCCGCACACACTCACTCAGCCTGAGCTCCGCGGAGCTCCGCAAACACACTCACTCACTCAGACCCCACGCAGCAACCAGGAAACGACACCATTAATCCACCTCACACTGTCCGCTCCTCGAGCCCCACAGGGCGGAGCAGCGAGCCCCGCAACGTCCCGCCAAAACAGCAACCATACCCTACGCAGCATTCTCATCAGTTTGTCATTACTGGAGTCATTTTCTGGCTGCTAACAAACGCCATTGTAAAACATAAACACTGAGTTTCAGCTGTAACGGTGATTGACTCATCAGAACAGAGTGGGCGAGCTGACCAATCAGAGCACAGTGGGCTCACAGGGAGGGGGGGTCAGGAGCTCCAACAAGCCGTTTAGGACAGAGAGAGAATACAGAGATGCTGTATGAGAAACCAATGTGAGTTTGGAACATTGAAAAATTTAAATCTATTCTAGTAGACCTCAACAATGGAATTATGATCAGTAGAAATGGCCATGACATGGGACCTTTAATATTACAATTCATTACAAGACCTTTTGTAGAACACGGTAAAGAAGACAGTTTATGATTCAGAAAAAATGTAAGGAAACGTATCTACTGTTTAAATCTTTTGAGACTCTCATAGTCACTAAACATACAAAACACAATACGTGTACTGTCTAAAATACCTGTAAACAGTGTAGAGTAAATCGTATGTCCTGTTGTCTGCAGTCTCAAAGAAGCAGGTGAAATCCTGCTCAGTCCGGGCGAAACATTTAGGATCCTTCTCATCCTTTAAGAGCAACACATCTGCTCCAGAAATAAAAAACATAATGCATGAGCATGGAATACAGCACGCACTCCACAATCAAACAAGATGGCATCTCTTGACTTGCCCCAAGGCTTTTGGGGCTCTGTTTCACAAAGTAAAATCTAATTTTTTCAGTGGCAGCAGACACATTAAGACTTTAAAAGAGCTGTTAATTGGACTGAATTAAAACCGATTCAACTTGAAACTCATTTTTGAAAAGAGTAATCTTTACACCTACCTTCCCTTGACAGATGATTGACAGTTTTACAATGTAGCCCAGGCACAAAGCCCACTTGTATCCAAATGCTGAGGAGTATCCGCCACCTGCAGTGCAAATCCATGGTAGATAGAGATATTATGTATGTTAAACCACCATGGCACCTAAACTAACACAACACATGTTTGTGAAGGTACATTGTGTGTGCTGTAGGTCATGCTAGTGTTGGGCAGGGTTTAACAGTGTTGAGGGGTTGGATAAGAGCGCTGTACTTGAAGCAGGAAGCTGGCTTTTTGTAGAGTGGAAGTAAACAAGAAAAAAAGCAGTTTGTTAACTGTAATGATATTCCAAATTTGTATCTTCTACAGAGATAAAATCTGAAAACCAGAAACATTTAAAACCAGATAATAAATTATTTGACCAAGCCCAGCAAAATGTGTTCCTTAATCAATTTATATTAACCATTTTTAATTAAACCTGCACACATTAAATGCATGTTTTATTCCAAGGGTATAAAACTGCAACTTCCTCAGGACTGCACAACAGGATTGGGTGTTAACCACCAGATAATGTGGACAATTATAAAAACCAATACCTCTGGAGAAAACTCAACATTACCAAACGTCCCACTCTCTCTACCTTACCCTTATTTTATACCAGAATAATTCCCAGTATAAATTACATTCCAATGTAATGATAATTTTTGGTCAATATTAGGCATTTTGTTCTCCATATTCGGGTTGCACTACATTTCTCACAGAGATATGGTGAAGAAGCCTTAGATATTCTTTGATACATCTTTAGGTACATGATTGCTAGATCAAGCAACTTAGCAACTCAGATGTAATTTAACTTGGAAGCATGAAAACATAATTTTCACTTTTGACATTCGGCAAATTGGGGAAGTGGAAAAATGTGAAAATTGAATTGGAATTTTCCCTGGAAATGTTTCTGTAACCAAAACACTTTATACTAAAGAAAGCAGATACATGTATTATTAATTTCAAAATAATGTTTGCCTTTTCATAATTCTAGATCAGGGAATAGGAAACCAAGAGCTGAGGTCACATGGGGGTCTCACTGGTGCCGGGTCTTCGTGTGGGAGTCCTCAGGAAGCTGGCCTACTCACACCATGTTTGACAGACAGCTCTGTGCCTGCGGTTGGTTTGTGGAGGAAACCCAGTGACAGATCAGCTCAGAGCAGCAGGGCAGATCAGTGTTCCTGAACTCAGCAAGGACACTTTGGCCCCCAGCAGCCTGGCCTGTGGTTTTCCACCAAGCTCACTACTGAGCAGGCAGGAACAACAACAACAACAAAAACACAATAATCTTTGCCTGAGTCCAAATACTCAGTGTGACCGCATTTTATAACTGGAAACTGGCACATAGTACAACTATTAGTAGTGATGAGTCCAGTCACCACGCAAAACCTTTATTTAAGGGACCAGTTAATGAAAACAAACTGTACATTTTTCATGATTTGGATATATAACATTACATTAGTTATGTTGCATATTGGTCAAAGAAAACCCTGTATTAGTAGCATAACAACTACTTGTTCTGTGGAGCTTTTAAATGCAACACATCTACAATGTTTGCATTTACTCTGTATCTCTGAGTACATTCGAATAGGAAGGCTATGATACATATATTTTACCTTTAAAATAGACAAACTATATACAGTAGTGGTTACATTCACATGGCAGTGATAGGCACACAGTAAAAGACATAAATGGCAAAAATTAGGCTGTTTTTAAGTGCTACAATAAATGCATCATCTTTCATGATTTTCTAACAGTCTGAGAACTTGCATATGTCTGTGTTCTAATCCTTTCTCCATTTAGAGCAATGGAGGAAAAATAAAGTCCAGTTTCAACACCCCACAGACCCTGTGGTGTTTCAGCAAGGCACGTAGCTCCTTATGTGCTGCTTCCCCTCAACAGTCAGAGAAAAAGGTCCAGCATTGAAACTTTTGTATCAGCAAAAGCTACAATGTTGTGCCTTTTTTTCTAGGACTTGTATGTAGTAACAGGGGGTCAGAATTTCCCGAAAGTTTAGTAGCAATCACATCGCTCAATCCAAGGCCCAGCAACACTCCTCCTCATCTCCTAATGCCTCTGATACCTCCACACAGTGTCCTTTCACAGTCCTCCTTCTATAACTGGGTGGTTTTGATTGGGCGCTTGGGCCTCCTGTCTCGACGTTGAGCGGCGGGGTGATGGCAATAACGCGGCGACCATCCTCGGGATTTCCTCCTGGAGCTACGTGGCATGCTAGGGCCTGGGGGGGCGGGTAGTCAGGCCTCCTCGGCTGTGGCGTCTATCCCAGCGTAGGTGAAGTTTTCAAAGAGAGCCATGTTCACATATGCCTGGAAGTAGATAGGAGCGTTTCATTAAAGATACAAAATAAATAGTAAAAATGTCAAGCCATTAAAGGAATGATGGCACTACCTGTTTTTTAATCATAGACTGTACAAAACATGGGCGTAGACTCTGTGACATCATCCATATTTTTCTGAAGAGCCATTGTTAAGCTGAATGTGGGTGTGTAAGATTACATTTAATAATTATTATTCAATTTTATTTACAATTAAGTTTTACTATAATTGAACACATGAATAACATACAAAAACACACTTAATGAACAGTTGTTATTAGTAGGGAAATTAGATATTGAGACTAAAACCTTTTTTTGGTACCAGGTTGTATATTTCATTTGGCTGTAAAGTTGGGCATTTCAATATGGGGTTGTACGGACATTGGCATGCTTTTGGAGACAGCCTCAAGAGGCCATTTGAGAAACTGCAGTATTTATGTTACTTTATGCTTGGGTGGTAAAAGCATCAGCTGTAATTACATTTAAGAGAATTTGAGAATTAAGGGAATTTCTGATATTGCTTTGATACTGTATTACACACTTGGTTAGGAACAATACAAAAGGAAATGTTACACTAGTGCACTGTAAATAAATTCCGATAGCAATTATATGTACCATATGTGTAACATTTTGAACAAAATAGCTATTTTATTTCTAGTTTTCTGATGTGGCTTTAGCAACGGGTTAGCCATCTTGGTGTGATGTTTGAACACAACAGGACATTTTCCTATTCTTCCCTTCCTGCCGACATTGTGTGAGTACAGCTTTACCTTCCTGGCCTCCTGCATCCTGTTGAGCTGGACAGACACTTGGGCAAAGGGGGGTCTCTCGTAGGGCCGATCCCTCCAGCACTGCTTCATCAGCTCATAGCTGCACACAGAGAGACATTGGTGAATAGGGTAGAACAGAAGAAAGAGAGACAGAAAGATAACCACAAAAGGCTGAACACTTACACCTCATCATCACAGTTTTTGGGTTTCTCCATCCTGAAGCCTTGTGGCAGCTTTTCATAAAGCTCAGCGCAAGTCATCCCACAGTATGGTGTGCCACCTGAACCACAAACACACACAAGAAGGAGAGAAAATGCTTTTTGTGTTGTTCATGGTGATTGTTGGTCGAGCAATGGTGAGGATTGACACCAATATTTGAACACCACAGGACAACAGGTTTTACATACCTAAGCTTACAATCTCCCAGAGGAGTACACCAAAAGACCACCTGAGAGAGAAATGCAAAGACAGGGACATTTGGAAATTGAAAAAACACATGTGAATAAAATATAAGGTTTTGTTAGTAACAACCAAAAATAATAATTGACTTAATGGCACTTCCTTTGTCGATAAAATGTGAGATAAGGTTAAAATGTTCACAAGTAACCAGCATTAGTTCATGCCTGCTATTTACATAGACATTAGATTATGGAATATTTTAGTAATGCAGTATGATGCTAGAAAATGCTTTTGGAGCATGCACAGTAACATCTCCAAATAGTTTTTACTTTTACAATGCATTGAATAAGGAAAACTAAAATGTAATAATTTAATAAATATGACATGGTGTGTGTCAACAATATAAAGCTTCTTCCTTGCATTTGTTTCAAATGTCATAATGCTGTGTTGTATATCATACAATCAGATAAAGTTATGTTTCGCTCTTTGTCCTTGTTTATATCTTCTCCCTTTGACTCAGACTTCTTCTTTATGTCTCCTTTACGCTTTATTTCTCTTATTAATGTTTACATCTCTTTCTGACCCTACAGCCAGCCCTCACACTTCTTCCGTTAGCTGTCCTTCAAGCATGTTCTCGGCTGTGTATAAATAGACTCGAGTTGACAAGGCAACGTCTCAGCCTGTCTGCTTAGGTGTACCAAAGACTTCCTGGTAATGCTTATCACTTACACAACACACTGTTATCATTTCAACAGAGGAATGATTTGTTGGCCATGTCAGAAGCCTGCCTTGTCACTCAACATGCTCCAAAAGCTCTCTGAATTTCTTTGCATTTTGCCCTTGCGTTTTCAATTAGAGGCATTAAAGTTCCAGTACAAATTTGCATTTCCAGCTATAGCAATGATTGTAATAGTTTGGTTGTTAGTTAAACAGATGGGTTGACACTGTATACTCACACATCGCTCTTGGTTGTGTACACGCTGTAGTTCAGAGACTCAATGGCCATCCAGCGTACAGGCAGCCTCCCCTGAAATCCAAGCAAGATATTTATGACACAACTTGTGATTAGGTTTGATTATTATAAAATGGCTGTTTTTTTTTTACTGTGGTGCCACAAGTTGAACATCATTAGTACAAGCCCATGCCATATTAGGTCAAAGTAACACCCTGCTGTACCAGAACACACACTATGGTGTAGGTCAGGGGTCTCAAACTCAAGGCCCGGGGGCCAAATCCGGCCCGCGACTTCATTTTATGTGGCCCCGCAAGAGCTTGCAAAGAATATAATATGTTTATTATACGGCTACATCTCACTTTACAGAAGCAGGTTGCCATAAACTACATGTCCCACAATGCATCTCGTTTTGTGACATGCACACTGAAGAGACTTGCAATTATTTGCCCTGGACTTCTGCTTTCAGACGTAGTTAATTACTAAGTTATTATCCTATCCGATAATAATCCAATTCAGAGGCAATAATGTAATATAATACATTATTTTATATATATTATATATTTATATAGTTACAACCGGCCCTTTGAGCGCAACCTTTATGCGAATGTGGCCCGCGATGAAATTGAGTTTGACACCCCTGGTGTAGGTGATAGCATTAACTCATGACTGCTCTCTACAGGTAATATCACATTTTGGTAGCTCTCTCAATTGATGTCAACACATACAAACATGTTATGTAAAACCAGTGGATAACTCTCAGTTTGCAATAAATCTTATTAGCAGTAAGTTATCAATCTCTAAAATATATTCTTATGTTGAAATACTGAAGTATTTTTCACAATGGTATACTAATAAAGTATTAACCATTGTGTGGCAGAAATTGGCTGACAGACCAAATAAATCATTGTGGGGTATATTATGTGGAGATATCTAATTATAAATATCTCTTGCATTTTGTCTTTGCAATTGATTAGTCTTTAAGTTATTGTCTTACATTTTCTGAAAAAAACCTTATTTTTGTAACCACTCACCATTGTCTTCTTAACGTAAACTTCCTCTCCGCGGGAAAGGCCGAAATCTGCTATCTTCGCCACAAGGCTGTCCCCAACAAGAACATTCCTGGCTGCCAGATCCCTGTGGATGAACTAGAAGCAAGAGAGTGGAGTACAGGAGAGCCGTGATTTAATTATCATGCCTTTTATTTGAGTGGTTCAATTACTTTGTCAACATCCACTGTCATGGGGAAAACACCTCATAAAATATGTAAAAGAAAGGTAATCATCTTCAGAAATTAATATACAAGCAGCCACCCAGATGTTTCCCCTCGTACCTGTTTGTCACTTAGGTAGTGCATCCCGGTTGCAACGTCTACAGAGAACTGCAGCAGCTGCTGGGAGGTGAGGGTGGACGCAGTGCCGTGCTCCTTGGCAAAGGCAGGATCCGTCTCCAGCACTCGACTCTTCCTCAGGAAGTCCAGCAGGTTACCATAGGGAGCATATTCAATGGCGATATACAGATAACCTGGAAGAAAAACCGAGTAACATGAAAAAGAGGAGTTTACCCTGTGGTTTACTCTACTGTATGGAAATATTCCCTAATAAATGTGCCATAAATGCCCTTTTTTCATGTTGTTTGATGTGGGTTTGAAGTGTAAACTCAACTTGCAGAACATAACGTATTACAGGAAAATCCACAGTTAATAGAGTTAAGGCTGCTGCTAATAAACGTATCATTATACATGTGTACAAGCTGTTTGCAGACTGTTTGCTGGGAAGAGACCCAGCTGGTTAGGGGCTTTGTATTTAACGTTTCTGTCTTAACACAGAAAGAGGTCAACCAGAAAATCTCCAAGAGACCCCACCAGATGGTCAAGGTTTTGTTGATAGATGGCAGCCAAAAGAATAGTTCCTACAGGGCACATTAGGACTTGTTGGAGGGGTTTCATGTTGATTTCCCCAGGACGGGTGATAGTGCCAACGCAATTAGTTAATGCCATATGTTGAAGGAAAGAATAAAGGGCCGTTGAAAAGGCTGATCAAAGAACTGGAACAATAATGTTCATTCTCAGCTACAAGATGTTAATCAGGACATGCTGTGTTTCATACAGCCACAAAACAGACAAATTGTGTGACTAATGTTTCATAACCTCCCAACTTCTTTAAACAGGCTTAGGGTTTACTGTTTGATATACATTAAAACACTAACCATGCCATGAGAAAAAACAATGAAGGTCTATAAAATGCAATCAGAATGTATTGTTTGTGTGTTTTTGGTTTTGTCTTCCTCCTAAAATGTAAGTATCCGTCAAATATCTTTTATATTCATTAACTCCTCCTATCCTGCTGTTCAACAGTTTAATGATGTATAAACCCTGAACAAACATAATTATTTAAAAGCTTGATAGCTGAATGGTAATTTGTTTGTAATATCTCTGTAAGATGAGAAAATGTAACAGCATAAAACAACATATATACAGAATTTGCCAACCACTTTCACTGTTGTAATACAATAATACATTGTATTTTAATAGCTTCTGCAAATGAAGAAGCAGCACATGAAGAACATATGCCCATTGCATTTCAAAGAAATATTTCCTGAAAGCATGTCTCCCTTCTTTATTTTCCCATATTTATCTCCAGCCTGCTTTCCTCCCCCCGCTGTCCCACAACATTCCTTCCTTTCCCTCTTACTTCCTTCCTCTTTTCCTCCATTTTACAATGACCTGTAAAATGTGACATTCCATATTATAAATGTAATATACATGTTTACCTTTAAAATATGTTTTTCTTATTAAAATCTACAAATTGCCTAATGATAAATAAACAACAAAACATTTATAAGAAGGAAACAAACGGCTAAATGACCAAAGACCAAAACTGCAGGAGGGAGAATAAGGACCTGATATTTAAACTCCAAAATGTTATGTTCATGATTGTTCAAAGATAATAATAAGGTTTAGTGTTCTAGTTGATGTTTGGATTTTACAGTATAAATGTATTTTGTGTTCGTATCACGGTCTTCCTCACAATAGAAGATACTTATTGAAACCAACACATGTAAACAGTAGACTCTGTAGAGTCAGGTTCTACTTAACAGTAACACTGATGAGCAGACACACTGCATCAGTTATTTATTATTCAAAGCTGATTTGGTTTTGTAATGTCCTCACTGATGTACTTTGTGAACTAACCTTTCTCTCTCATATGTAATCAGTCTTGATCAAACAGAAGCAGTTTAATTATTCAATCTATAAACCATCGGCTGTAGTTATGGAAAACCGATACTCCATAGTAAGAACTGGGGTCAAGGATACCTTATACCCATTCACAAATACATGACAAGTAGGTTTGTGAGACCCATTGGCAAATCAAACAAATCTACAAAATGCTTTTGGAAATATTGTTTAGCTTGGACACATTCTGGTGTCCTAGCAACCTGATCCCTTAGAGTAAAGCAAACGGGTACTATTAGACAAATTAGGATGAATAGAGGTGAAATATGGTCCGAATTGTGTCTGAAGGATCCTGATTAATATATCAGCAACAATAAGTCCTTTAAAAAGTCGAAACTTAAATACAAATGTATTGGCAAATACATTCAGATCCTTTGAATTCAATCTATACATACACTTTGCTATACTTGACCAATATTTGACCACATAACACCTCTGTACAGTCAATATGCCGCTTTGAATCATCTCCATGTCATGTACATAACTAAATCTATCAGCTGATAAAGACTGTGTGATTCAGACACACCCACAAGACAAAGCAAAGTAAGATAAAAAGATGTTCTAATATTTAAGGTAAATGCTCTATTTGTTTTATAATACAAAATGAGTTACACTGCAACATATTACAGTAGAAACTGTGCATAATACATTCAGCAGACATATTTATTATTTTATTGCTACATGCATTTTTCCAATTATATTTTACCGTCATCAAACTTATCAGTTGTCTACCAAATGGCAAATATTTTAAAAGGCCTTTAAACAAGATAAGTAAGGTAAGTTAACATTTATGCAACCTACAGCATACTGTACATATTTGTACTATAGGACTTATAAACTCCGCAAAAACCGTAATACAAATCAAACACATGGATATTTCCTTCATAGCCTTACATTGAAAACTTATGAATATCCATGACAGCCACTAGGTGTCGCTCACTCACCTCTGTTCTCGCAGGCTCCTATCAGGTTGATGATGTTGGGATGCTGGCCTAGTTTACAGAGCACCTCCAGCTCCCCTGCAAAGTCTCTGTGGTCATTCTCCGAGGCGAACTCTGCAGGCAGATCAGCATGCGCAGCTCCATTAAATAAAGTGCATGCAAAGCAGATTCAGTCGGTGCCTTAGGAATGAAATGTTCACGTTGCATTGCATGTAACTTTCTGCCTGTGCATGTGTCTGTTCTCATTCGTAACACTCTGTTCGATGTCTCACGCGCCTCATCGCGGAGCAAACAGAAGCATCAATCTCATTACGCCAATCCTGATTGGCTGGTGATCTTGACGTCAGCGTCAGGGAATCTACCCCCTATAAGTAGCTTGCGCTACGCCGCATGCATCATTCGAACACCTCTTCTCGCTTCAGAGCACATCTCTATTGGTAGCCGGGCTAGCTCACACAGTCCACAGACGGAACCAAGCTATCCAAGCTAACTTCGGTCGACGGGCGCTCGCCGGCTACTTTTATATATATCCAACATCAAAATCTCGCCATGGGTTACGGCGACTTTGAGGAGTACACATTGGCAGGGTCAGCATAACTGGTCCTACCGACTGCGGTACTCGGGGTCATTGGCGTCCGTACTAGACTTTCTTGTAGCAAAACCGCAGTCGACCCTTTACTCGCTTCCCGTTCGAGACTTCGAAAGTGAGAAACGGCGACTGTCCGCCCCGACATTTTCCGTGGCTCAAGTCCGACAATTTGGGTCCTTGCTCAATCAGACACCGCCGCGGGTGTTGTACGAGAAAAGACACAAAATAATACGTTTGGTCCCCACTCGTCCAACGGAAAATGCTCCCTGTAAACAGACGGCATTAATCGGAGGACGAAGGCTGACACGCGTCTTCGGTTCCGGTCAGCGATCCGATCCCAAACGGTCCGCTTAGGCGACAACAAGAATTGCCCCGATAGCGCCGAAGGCGATGTAAAGCATGTTTGTGAGAACCTGACTCTCTGTCGTGGCCATTCCCTTCGATGAGAACATAAGCGATTGTCTAAGGGGACTTTACGCTTGGAGTCTATAAAGGACACGACGCCATTCATATGACCCTACAACCTTTATGCGTAGGAAAGTCCAGCTGACTAAACGCGATTTTGGTCAAGCAAAACCAGCGTTGCCTGCGTCCTCTCTACACCTCACGTCGTAAAAGACTTAAACATAGAAAAATCTATGCACAAGTCTCGGGGTTTAGACATAAGCCCGGCTTAGGCGAGAGGAGGGCAACCGCTTGTCCTTTATGAACCCTTATTTTTTTTTCCGGCAGACTGAGACGAGCCGCGCCATAATATCTAATATCGGAAGAAAAAGATCTTCACTCTCTTAAGAGAAGAGGTCTTATAACCCGAACTGAGAGGGCCCCGGGAACACTTATGTCTTGCCGGGCTCTTCGGGGCTCCTCCGTACCACTGTCGCTTAACCTCAGCACATCGGGGCCAATGGACAGAACTTTTGGTTCGTCTGCGACACTCGTAGAGGGGTGACAGAACGGAGGAATCTCGGTCGCCTCTACAGTGCAGAGAAAGGGAGACTCAGATCAGATAAACAACACAATACCCCGGGAGTAATCACCAGACTTGTGCTACCAAGGTAAAGCTGTTAGGGTGGCTCTGACGGCGTTACGCGGCACTGCCACCGGACGGGAAGTGTTGGGGTCGCAGTGTACGGGCGGTATCGCGCACTGCCATCGCCGAGATCATTGGGTCAGCGTGACGCGTACGCGGTAACCCCACCGACCGGAAGTGTCCTAGGGCACGAATAATTAGGCCCGGGAAACTCTCTCCGGCGATCGGACGAGAGTTTTCTCCGCGCTGTCCGTTGTCCTACAAATAACAAAAATAACAGAAAGAAATTTTTTTTTACCTGACCGCGGGAGCCGACTTCGGACCCTACGCCGTGTCGACTTTTTACCAAATAACTTTTGTTGTTGTTAATCACTGTTACCAAAAAACACTGAATCCGTCTATCGTCTTTGAGCGTACAGAGCCGATAATTTCAGACAAAGGGAAGACACGCGGCTTTGAACTCTGCCCGCAACGCCGTAGATGAGCTCCCGCCGCCACTCCTACCTCCGAGGACCACGCGTGGGGGCTTTTGTGTAGAACCTCGACGCGCCTTGTCCCTTGAAAGGTCGAGACAGTGCCTTCGCTCTCCTACTCCCTCCGAACAAGTCTGGCAGGGCGAAGAAAAGGAGCTGACCACCCTGGCTTTTAGACGTCAGCCGACCACGGCCCGCTTGTCGTCCGACGGCTTGGCCCTCTAAAGGAGCCGGTCGAGCGAGTGAGCCGAGAGGACGGACGCCGAACCCCTGAGCCCCCGCCCGGACACCGGAAATACGACGGAGCCGATGGAACTTGGCGCGTCTTGTACCTCCGTTGAACCGCCTTGGTCGCGCCCTTCCTGACGGCGCCCTCTGGCAGCAGGTTCCATCGCCGGACCGCTGGGAAGCCCCCTCTGTCTCCACGTCCCGGAGCAGAAGGAAGAAAAAAGCTGAGTGTAGAGGCCCGGACGGTAGCTCTGATTTCGCCCTCGGCTTTTATGGGAGGCCGCTTGCTATCCGTACAGTTCGTTGTAGGACGGAAAAGGGCAGACCTACACGCAACCGTCCAACTCGGTGGACCGGAGAGAGGACAATGGTGGTAATACGGGTACTGAAACCCGGCACCGCGACCCTGACGGGTGTCGGCGACAGGTGTGCCTCTTTACGGCACGTAGCGACGCTAAGAGCAGGGTATGCCCGGCCCCCGGGGGGTCGCCAAACGAGCTATCGCAGGAGCGGTCGTCGAGGCGGGACCATCCGCCAAGTCGGCACTCCCTCTGTAAACTCACGGGACCCCGCCTGTTGCGACGGCCGCAAATAATCCGGGCAAAGGCAGTAGCCGAACTGAAACCCGTTGGCCAGACCGGAAGTGCCATCGCACCACCAAGGACGAAACCAACAGTCTCGGTCGGAGCCACCTTCCACCCCGACGGTGGTCCGCCGAAGGATACCCGCCGTACGCCTCAGTCGGCTCGGAGAAGGTCATGGCAGTGTCCAGGTCCCCTCCCTCCCGTGGGACCTAAGCCCCGGAATAATGACTTCCCGCGGCCAGAGAGGTGCCTCTGGCTCTGGAGTAGGTCGTAGAGGCGCGCTTTCTGACCCTTCCCCTCGACGAGAAACAGTGAGCGACCACGCCCGTTTCAGAAGGGGAAGCCATCGCTCTGACCCTCCAGAGGAACCGGAAAGTCCGTACCCGTACAGGTCGGACCTGCGCCGTCCAACCTGTGTGCCCCGACGTCCAGGTACGAGTCTGTCCCGCCTTCGACCACGGCGATAAGCGGGGCCCTCTCGTCCCGGTAACGAGGCCCGAAACGGTCGGACCCGACTACCCCCTGTGCTTCTGTAGTAGCAGACGAGTAGGCTCAGCCTGTCCTCCTTGAGTCTCATAGGAGAAGCAGGAGGTTGAGGTCCTGTGTAGCGCCGCTCCTGGTACCACTCGCAGGTCAACCCTCGGGGTCTGAACTGGGTCGCGCCCCGAGACGAGAAAGCGCCGACCGAACGGGGCGGGTGGCCCAGGGTCGGACTGTGCCCGCGCCACGAGGCCCCGAAGTCGTCGACGGCGGGACAATAATCGGGGGGTCCGGACTGTGTCGGCGCCCCGAGTTAGTGGCGCCGCCCTGCGGGGGTACAGAACCCCTAACCCGACCGACGCGGCGTTTGTCGCCTGTACCTCCCGCCAGGACGGCTGTTCCGATCCGAACCGCCGGATCGGCAGCCGCCTCCGGAAGAAACTACCGACTTAGGCCCCGGTGTTACGCGGCGTGCTTCGGGCCCCTAAACAGCTATCGGAAGGACCCCGGACACAAGGTCGGGCTCCGTCCTGCTCGTCTGGACCACACCTCAGACCACGGACTATAGAAGTTGGGCGGGTCTCGGCTCGGAGGCTCAGGGACTGAGGAGACGAACACGTCCCTCTCTTCGCAGGTAGAGCGAAGCGGCACCGACTTCCGCGACCTCTGCGCTGGGAGAGCGATTGTCCATGCAACGAACTCCCTTTTTTAGGGAGAAGGGTGGACAGCAATAAGGCAGCTCTTTTTTTGCTGCCCAAATCTTAAAATAAGAGTCTTCTTAAAATTGACCCACACAAATTATGGGAAAAATAGATAGGGAGGAGAAACCACCACTCTCTCTTTTTTTTAATTTTTTTTTTTTTTTGGCAGGTGGCCGAATGGAAAGCCACGGAGACGCATAACTCCTTCCGTTCGAATCAATTGTCGCACACAATGGTCGAACTTTTAGTTTTTGGAATGGAAATTAAGGCTTCTTTATTTGCCGCTCCACTAACGTTGTGATTGACCACACAATCATAATTTGTCAGAAG